GTCATTTATTAATAAGGTACTTTCAAAAAAAAGGCAATGATTACACCTCGAAAGATTAAAAATATCTTATATTTTTTAACATCTAACTTTTCAAAAAATATTTTATATTTTTGAACGGAAGGAGTAATTTGTATGTAGGGTCAAATAAAAAGAAATATTCCATCCATCTAATTTATAAGTTTCTTTTAACATGTTTCATCATAATTGTGGAAAAACTTAAAGTTTATTAACTTGTATAAAAATTAAATAAGTTTTTAATTCTAACCCTATTAAATATATATAGTTTAATAATATACTTTTTCTTATCAACATTTAATAGAAGATAAAGAAAAAAATATGTGATAAAAATTCTCTATTTATAAATAATAACCGATGGAGTATTTTTGTTTTGAGTACATATCTCATTTGAATTTAGTACAACACTTATTAGTAACAAAAAAAGGATTAGGTTTAAAAGATAAAGAAAGAAGCTCAGTTGGGTAGATGTTAGCTTCCTTGTTGGGAAGTGAATGCACAATCAGCAGGCGCATGTTAGTTTCCTTGTTGGTATTTTCCAAACAATATAATCATAACTTTATTAAATCTTCTCTTTTCGGCTGAACTCAATTTCCAACTTTGGCCACTTTTCCTAAAACCCATGACAACGAAAAGAATCAACTTAGAACTGACCTTTCTTTTCGGAGACATTACATCTAAGAATTTTAACATTAAATAATTAAAAACTATGCTAAATATTTTAAAAGTTATACTCCTTCTGTTTAAAAATATAAAATATTTTTAATCTTTTGATATATAATTATTATCTTATTTTTAAAAGTGATCCTATTGATAATAATTTTATATTTATTGTAAGGTGTTTAACATGAATAAATATAAAAAGATAGAGTTAGTTGGAAAGTAAGTAACTACTTTATTAAAAGATGAAATTTAATTAAAAATGCCTTATATTTTTTAACGGAGGGAGTAATTATTTTTTTTAGTGAAAATATATCCATACTCACAAAGAGATTACAAGTTAGGTACCTCTTTTAAACATTCTCCTTCCATCATCCACCATATTAACATAATAAAGTAGGGGTTGATCAAAAGTTATAACATACTCAAAACCATTCTAAGCCTGTGTGTCCAACTTGTGGCCACATGTTAACTTTCTTGTACGTAAAATTCAAACAAATGCTCCATTCCTTATACTAAAACAATGTAGCTTAGTTGATAATGTCTCTAGAAGAATGATAAACAGAATCCTATCTAGTAATTAGATTAATAGCTTCTACATTATCAATAAAGACTTGAACATTGAGAAAATTAAGTCCCGACATAATTAGAGTCCATGAATGACCAGAAAACCACAGCTAAGTTTTGAGAAAAATTATTATTTTAAGCAAATTTAGCAACAACTTCTCTAAAATCTAGTAGTAACTTGCATAACACTAATAACAAGTCATCATAATTTAAAATATTAATACAGCTTTTAGATGTACTTTTTTTTTCCCGGCTTTAGTGCAAGACACACTTGACATATAACTTTTCAGTTTTCACATGATCAAGATTAGTTTGATCTTCACTCTTTGTGTAGGACCAATCTTCCATGCCAGTACTTTATTCCATGTTGGTTTTGATGGCCCTTTCCTATCCTATTATTAGTCTTCATTCATTGTTGAAAATATTAATTTGAATTATTCCTCTATGGCAATATGATAAAACAATCAAGTCAGAGTCATGCTACATCATGCTGTGCCAGTGTTGGTGTGGGGACACCAACACTAAACATTTGTTCCACAAATGAAACAACTGTAGGTGGTATATTATATTCTTACCGAAATTATTGAGGCAATATTTAAATGTTCCCACGAATATTTAGAGTAAAAGATATTATATAAAAACCACAATAATATTTTAAAACATAAAATGGGGGACTAAAAATGTCGGTGGCTGAACTCGAAATTGAAAAAGAAAAAAAATCATAAATAGATCCCAAAATATTAAATAAATGACAATGAAGTTCTTAGTAAATTTTTTTTAGGAAAAGTAATTATATACTTAACTTTAATAAGGTTATTGTTTTCAATTATATTAAGACACCTAAGTATTTTTTTTTATAACAAACTCTTATTGTTAATGTTATTATCACCCTAAAATCCACTTGTTTTCATTTGGTTGGAAAAAAAATAAATTAAATATAAAGCATTAAGTACCCAAATCTAGCCTCTTTTTTAAGATATAAGTTATAAATATCAATTCAGATAATTATAAATAAAATTTTAAATACAATTTGAAAGTTAGATTTGAAACTTAAAGGTATCATTTGCAATTAAAACTCAAAAATTTATAATTATCTGAATTAATATTTTTAATTCATTTTTTTAAACAGATTTTGCTGGGACCAGTTGTCAGTCATTGAATATGTTGGGACCTAATTGTTAGACTCTCAAATTGAAATTCAAATTCTTATAAATTTATCAATTTATAGTATGTAACTGGGTCCATCTCATAGCTCGTGCCAAGCTAGCAATTTTTGTCTGGGCACGACACCCATGTAACCTCAATTATCATCCCACACTTATAAACACATGAATCCCTTCTTCTTCCCTTCACGCCATTACACCATGAAGCTTCTCACTACCACTTCTCTTGCTCTTTCCTTCACCTTCCTCATCCTTCTACTCCTTCCCTCCATTTCTCAAGCACACAACATCACCACCATTCTCGCCAAACACCCTGAATTCTCCACCTTCAACCACTATCTCTCTGCCACCCACCTCGCCGTCGACATCAACCGCCGCCAGACCATCACCGTCCTTGCCCTCGACAATGCCGCCATGTCATCCCTCCTTGAAAAACACCTCTCCATCTACACTCTCAAAAACGTCCTCTCCCTCCATGTTTTGGTCGATTACTTCGGCGCCAAGAAACTCCACCAGATCACTAACGGCACTACTTTAGCTTCCTCCATGTTCCAGGCCACCGGTGCCGCTGCAGGAACTGCTGGTTACGTCAACATCACTAACCTCAAAGGTGGGAAAGTGGGGTTTGGAGCTGACAACACTGACGGCGGCGCTCTTCATTCCTTCTATGTGAAATCTGTGGATGAATTGCCGTACAATATCTCTGTTTTGCAGATAAGCCAAGGTCTCACTTCTGCTGACGCCGAAGCTCCGACAGCAGCGCCGACTCAGGTCAATCTAACCTCAATCATGGCGAAGCAAGGCTGCAAAGCCTTTGCTGATCTGTTGAAGGTTTCCAAGGCGCTTTCTACTTTCGAGGAAAACATTGATGGCGGGTTGACAGTGTTTTGTCCAACCAACAACGTTGTCAATGGTTTCTTGCCAAAGTACAAGAACTTGACAGAGGCTGATAAAGTGGCATTGTTGTTATATCATGGGATTCCTGTGTATGAGTCCTTACAAATGTTGAAATCCAATAATGGGATTGTCAACACTCTGGCTACCGAAGGAGCTAAAAAGTATGATTTCACAGTGCAGAATGATGGAGAGATTGTGAAGTTGGAAACAAAAGTTGTGACAGCAACACTAGTAGGGACATTGATAGACCAGGACCCTTTGGTTGTGTACAAGATTAACAAGGTGTTGTTGCCTAGAGAGCTGTTTAAGGAAACTCTTGCACCTGCAGAATCACCTGAGCCAGCAAAGAAGAAGAAGAAGAAGAAGGGAGATTCATCGGCTGACTCGCCGGACGCTGATGCCCCGGAGGCTGATGTAGAATCAGATAAGGCTGATGACAGTAATAGGGCAAGTGGGTTATGTGGAGGGGCAGTCAAATCCTTCATGGTTTTGTTGAGTTTGGCTATGGGGGTTCTGGTTCTATAATTGCATATTGAAAAGATGATTCTCAGTGTCGGTTTACAGCTATATGGTCATGTGAGAGAATTGATTTAATTTGTGAAGAAAATAAAAACAATGAGACCCACATGATGGGTTGCAGTTTGCAGGTGCTCTGTCTTTTTCTTTTTTAATTTTTAATGGTTTTATATTTGTTTATATATTCGTTTGTAATTTATGGGATTTGTCATTTTTGGTGCGGATGGATGGAATCCAGATTGTACGTGCTAGCAATGCATAGATATATGTACAAGTTTTTTTTTTTTTAAGCAAAAATATGTACAAGTTTACTTTGACAGATATTAGTGGCTTTTTCTCAAAACTATCCATGAGATTCTACATCAGATACTAATATTCACATGATTTCTTATAATATGCTTATATTTAATACAACTACAAGTTGATTGTCTATATCTTGATTAATTTCAAGGACAAGTATAATGGTACAGAAACCCAAAGGAAGAGAGAAACTCTCTCCAAAGAGACTTCGTTATTCTCAGGATTCAAACTAATGATCACAACATAGAGGGAAGGTTCCTATTTATATGTTGCCATGGTTCTTAAACTGAAAACAGGAAAGTAAATGGGGGGTTACAAACAAGTTTTATTGTGCATTATAGAAATGTTGCAATGGACGTACACCCCTTCCGTTTCACTCTTATTCCGTTTCATCTAATCTCAAAGGTTCAAAACTACTTCAGCTTTAATGCTTTGATTCCACTCAATTAGTTATCACCTTTATTTGAAAGATGTTCGCTGTCTTTAATACTTTTCTCTGATTCGGATGAATAGTTTTTACAATAAACTTTAAAGCTTCAACTTATTATGATGAAATCAAATCCATTATGTCACAAAATATCCAAGAGGGGTATGAATCGGAGGAAGATATCGAAGAGGGGAACAACTCTTTTCACTGAATCAATGAATGAGTGAGGCTTCTTCATGAATCTGGTTTTAGATCATAAATCATTGCATGAGATATCAGTGCTGATAGTCACAGACATTGACCCGAATAAGTGCGGCTTGCCCAAATTATCAGCTTTATCTTTTTTCTAGCTTCTTAATTTATTCTTCTATTTTATTTTATGTTTAAAAAAAAAAAAAGCCATTACCTAACCTGTTACATATGCAACATGAATCTCAATCCCACAACCGTTGTGAAGGGATGAACAAATAAATTCTTCCAACTCTAGTTTCATTGACAGAGCCATGTACTATCACATCTTAATCGAACACTTGCACACAATCAAAGCTCAAAGACTAGAGATTCATCATGAGAAAGCCTAGAATACGAATCATACCAGAATGAAAAGGGAATTACTTCTTGTGGATTCATGAACAAGTCTACAAACTACCAGATTAACCTTCATAACCAAAATCTCCCCAACAGATGTTGTGCTTTGCAGCAAGATAGTAGACACCAGCTGGCCCTTTACCGCCATATGTGTATAGCTCTGGCACAACTTTCTGCTTTTCCAGTTCAGTCAATAAAGGTGAGATCACTGCCCAAGCAGCATCAAGCTCATCACTTCTAATGAACAATCGCTGCTCTCCTTCTATGGCATCTAAAAGCAGTCTCTCATATGCATCTGGAATCTCTTTTGAGTGCCTTAACACACCAAATAGAATGATCAGCAGATTCCCAAATGAAACGATTTAAACATATTCAGAGAGAAGCCTCTACTCTAATAAGCTGAAAACAAGCAAAAATAAGAAAAATACACTACAAATGGGATTGAAAATAGAAAATACTATTGCTGAATAACAAAGTTAGATTACGAGGGAAATAATGATTCAGACCAATCCCACCTCCCTCATACCAAGCACTGAAACTACAATCAAATAACAGTTAAAGAGTACATGGAACATTACAAAGTACACCCCCACAAAACAGAAGCACAAACATAAGACACTGGACTTTCAAGAGGCCAGTACTCACCGAAACACACTCCACTCTCCAAAAGATTGAACTTCCCTCCCTCTGGCTGAATTGGAGAATTTAAAATCCAAGAAGTTACAAAATCACTACCGCTACCCTTAGCTGCACCTAATCCCTACTCCTATATTACTTCTTTTCCATTATGGCCAGGACCCATGGTATAATCTTTTGACCCAGCAGATTTTGTTTTGCCCCCTCTATCTTTTTCTTCTTAATTTGCTCCTATAGGCCTTAGCCAATGATCAGCTCTACCATATTCCCTGAAAGAGAGTCTTATATGGCTTTGACCATGATGTTATATGGTGTAATGGAGAACAGATTATATTGCAATTCATCCGTGATAGTAATGTTCATACTTTTACCTGGAATTGTAAAGCAAGTGAAGATCACTGCATTCAAATCTCATTCCAAGACCAGGAACCTTGTTGTTGATCTTCAGATAAATAGAATGATCAGGTTTATCTCGAAGAACAAGCTCATTTGTTGTTTTATTTAAGTCAGCTCCAAATCTTTGATTGTATAGGTTGCCTGGGACATGTCTAAATTGCACTCGGATTTCTGCTCTAATATTCCAGCAAAGTACATTTAGCAAGTCTGTCAATTGTTTCAGCAGCTTAAAGGAACTGATCTAATAAGTGAATCCACTCACCGATTTGAATGAAGACCTTTACCAGCTACCAATAGAATGGGAACACCTTCCCATCGTGCATTGTTGATGAAAAGTGTTGCAGCTGCGAAGGTGGGAGCGAGATTGCCATTTAAGACAGTTAGCTCATCATTATAAACAGGATATCGTGAACCACCATTGCCACTAATCCTATATTGACCAACTACCACATCTTCAAGCTTGATGGGTCTCATGGAGCGCAAAGCCTTCACCTGATTTAATGTCATGCCCATGAAAATAGTCAATGGAAATAATCATCAAGCTTTACATCTTTAATATTGGAACAATCAAACCTTTTCATTTCTAATGTCTTCAGAACCTAAGGTGAGGGGTGTCTCCATTGCAAATAGTGCAATGGTTTGCAGGAGATGACTCTGCATTATGTTACGGATGATGCCGTAGTTGTCAATACTTCTGTAGGAAAGCAAAACAAGTGTTCTTAGTGAATACACAAGTCCACCAGAATGAATTTTGAGAGTGGATGAAATTGCTTCTTTACTTTACTTACTATATATACTGACCTGCTTCGTCCCTCCACGCCGAAATCTTCACAAAAAACTACCTGAATATTGCGGATGTAGTTCCTGGACCATAAAGGCTCAAAAACCAGATTTGAGAAGCGAAGTACCAAGAGATTTTCCACTAACTCCTCAGCAAGGTGGTGGTCAATCCTGAAGAGACAATTTGAAGGCTTACCTCATGTATGCAGTAATGCTGCCCTGCTGAATTGAACTACAGAAGAGCATACCTGAATATTTGGTCCTCTGTTAGGTATTGTTTCAAAGCTATGGTCTGATTTTTCGATGAGTCTGTATCATGACCAAATGGCTTCTCAAGTATGAGCCTAGTCCACCCATATTTGGAAGAAGCACAATGTTTGGTGCATCTTGCAACATCCACGCATAGGTTTGATGGTATTGCTAAGTAGAATAATCTATTGGAGATTCTTCCATCCTGAATTTATCCTTTAAAGAATTAAGCAAATAAACATTGATCTATGAATTAATATCCAAATTGCAAATGCTATGCCATGCATGTTGCACACCATTATAATGAATGCTCATTCAATGAAATAAACATAGGTTTATTACTTGTTGAACTTAATTTGGTTAATATGCCTACGTTGTGAATTTTCATTACAATTTTGTTGCTGCATTGTTGTATATAACGTCATACTCTGCATGCCCAATTGCTTAAATTTGAACTAATTGATTACAATAATATGCACAATTGCTCAACATAAACCAAGTTTCTTAGGAAAAGAGAAACGTTTAAAAAATTCTATTTGAGCTTGAGTGATTAAATGTACATTAAAGCTCCACAAAATATCAAAACAATTCACACAACAGTTTGAAGTCCACGTGCTTGCGATGAAATATAAAAGCAGAAGGAAGGAGACTAAAATGTCTTAGCATAGCAATAATACCTCTCTTTCTTCCAGCTTCTTGTTCAATTCCATAAAATGCTCCTCAGAACCATACTGACCTGAATGATAGAAACAACATTTTAGGAACTCAGCCATCTTGCCATCACAGTTGTCCCTGCAATTCTGAAAAGATTTTATTAAGAATTGCAACAGAATCAAATGAAATACATCACAAAGAAAGTGGCTGAAAAGGACCTCTCAGCAACTCTGCAGGTAAGATTTTTACTAATTAGATTTCTTAGTTCATGGTCAGTCATTGGAGTACGTGCATAGCCTGATATCGTGAAATGCTGCAAAACCAAAAGTTAATCAGCAGCAGTCACTAAATGGCAATTGGCAAACAACTATAAGTTGAGTTAAGAAGATAACATAAAAGGAATGCTACCTGAGGCAAACAGCCTTCATAAAAGAGTGCAAACAGAGCAGGGAAGATCTTCTCCTTTGCGAGGGTTCCTGTAGCCCCCACAACAACAATGGTTAGTGTGGAATTCGCCCTGTCTATTTTCAATATATTGCACCGTCCCTCGGCTGGAGTCATCCGCTGTTCTGTGTCAAGAATATTTGTAACTGATCTGCCTACAAGACACTATAACTTTGAGTTCTTCAATGTGAGAATGAAAAGCATAAGAAACTCTATTTTGGTTTTTCAACGATTCTCATGATGGTCATTAAAAGACTTATTTTCATTCATTTTCAATGTAAGACAAAAGCAATTGGAAACAAGTCAGGAGGTGGTCTTAATCATTAATGCTCTTTGGCATGGTCTACCACTATCTAATCCACAACATATTTTACATTATATACCTTGGATTCACATGCAATAGAACATAATGGTTCATTGGCATGACTGTTAAAAAAGACAAATGGAACAGGAATTGTTTGTTCAATCTATGAGAAATGATACAGGATGGGTTATTGAGGTTCTAGATTTCCAAAAATGTAAGAGGCGCAGGAAATTGTCATCTCATGACAGAGCTGATTTTATTGGTGAAAATCTGATTGATAAATGCAGTTTGTTAGATTTACAAGGAGGGAGCTGCCACAGATTGTTGTCGGAATTGAGATCGACACTACTCTGGGTTCATCAGGAAGGAATAATTCTCATGCCACATCTTCTTGATATTCAAATAATTTTACCAAGAAAGAGTCTGGTTAAAATGTTATCAAATGTTTACCTCCCCCCAGGCTTTTATGTCCATCGGTGTATGACATTCAGGCCATTACTGGTAGATTTAGGCCCTTTCCTGTTTTTTAACTTCAGTAGGCTAATTTTTTAGGATTAGTTATTTTTTGTTGTGTAAAGCTTTTATTTAAAAAAAAAAAAAAAAAAAAAACTAGTTCCTCCAACGGTGATTGACACCGTGACATTGCCAGTGCAAGTAATGGAATGTCATGTTTTCTATGATATGGCATCCTTGAATACCAAAAAACCTCAACAACAGAAATGTTTGGACCGAATTTAAATCCCAGGAATCAAAATGAGAAACTGATCCTTCACCAAAACATAGTGTAGTCATAAAAATGAAGTACCTGTATCACAAAAGTCTTAAGTAATTTATTAGACCAACACTCGAATCTAACTAGGAACCTTGGTTTTTTTTTTTTTTTTGGGGGGGGGGGGGCGGATTACATAACACAGCTAGTGGCTTAACATAGAACATTTAAGTGTGAAAAACTTTCATTAGAAGCAAAGGGATCAAAGTAGCAAGGTCGTTTGCATCACCGAGGGTGAACATTTGTTGGAAGAGGACAACTGCTTTTCTCTTTCAATTCAATATTCAATATCTGACACTGAAACAAATCAAACATCAACCTGAACCAGATATATGCTCACTTAGTAGCTAATTAGAACGATAATAGCATCCATATTTCGCTTTTAACTATAATGCACGGAATCCTATTTTGTTCAAAACAAACCAGAGCTGTTCCATAAATGAAGTCTCATAAAAACATTCTCTCGAACACGTGGTTCACATAGAATTATATTAATTGTTAGGATCGCAAGAACCCACCATTCTGCGAATGAACCCCAGCCGAAGGATGAATACAAGCTTTGATCTCAAGACGCCTGTTTGAACGTGTTCCGAAATTGCTCTCGCGAACCCAAGTACCGAAGAAGCTTCTTCGGGAAGAAGAAGGAGAAAACCCATAAGTAAAGGGTAGAGGCATGCAGTTTCGCAGCGAGAAAACGCCCATTGGATCTTTTGGCAGAAGATATAAGTTGCTTCAGTATTACAAGTCTCCGAGAAGTTAAGAAGTAGCTGAGCTATCAGACGCGGGTTAAATGAATTAAGCATTGTCATCATTTTCTCTGACATTGATCCTGGAAAACACTTAACTTTCAAGTGGAATGGCAAATCAGGTGCCAAACTAACTCAATTCGGTTCAGTTTACCATATCGTTGAAACTTTGACTTTCAGGTGATGTCAAGATTCAAACGCCAACATCAGTGTACGAAAGAGGTTGAGAGTCCCTCCTGAGAAAACGAGTTAAAGCTCTTCGTTTCGCCCAAATTATGGCCGCAATACACCCAATTCGAAGAGATAGCTGTGAGTGGTAAACGAGCATTATATATACGCAAGTATATAACAGAACTTATAAAATATCTAGGACTGAAAAAACCGAGTTGGCCAACTCGAGTAAGCAATTTAACAATCTGATACTTGAGATTGAGAATGAACTTCGAAGAAACGCGCACCGTTCCTAACAATCCTATGAGTAAACGCGCCTTATCGAATCATTTTAACAAGGCATGTTTCCTCACTTTGTCCAAAACATAAAATAATCTTAATTCATTCATGCAAGTGATGTTTCTTCTTCTTCTTTGAGAAAAGCATAGATGCCAGTAATAACTTACTAATTAAAATATATATTTAATTTTTTAATTTTACATAAAATTTTATTTTAATCCTTTAATTTTATATAATGTTTTTAATTCTTTAATCTTAATATTATTAATTTTATCTCAACAAATTTTTACTTTTAACTTTTAAATATTGATAAAACACTCTCAAATATTAATATATTAAGTTTAATTTTTCTAAATAACAATTATTGATACAAAAAATAATCATTTAAGACTAACAATGTTAGGGTTAAAAAATTAAAAAGATACTTTCTAAAATTAAATAAATTAAAACTTTATATAAAATTAAAGAATTAAAAATATGCTTTAACCTAACTTACATTATTTATGATTTGTTGGCAACATACTTTTTTTTTATATATTTTATATTCTATATAACTTATTTTAGCTTTTTAAAATAGTAAAATAAAATAATCATCCAAAACCTTAAAATTTTTACCATCCCCAAGCTGAAAGTTTGATATTTTAGTTTAGGAAGAATACCAACAAATCCTAGTAAAAAAAAAAAAAATTCATGACCCCTTAAACATGAAATTTGAATTTGAATGCAGCGATTGTCTTTCAAAAAATTCCCAACAACACAAAACTAATATTAACAAGGAACTAAAACCTTTTCAAAATCACTTGAGGATTAGAGTTTAGAATTTTAAAGTTGATTCACTTAAATATAATTTACAAAATTTAAATTTAAGCGATTGTCTTTAATGGTGAATGGAAAGAAAATGTGGAACTAGACAAGATCAAACACGAACTTTCAAATCCAAGTCATTCTTGCAACGTCATTTCAACACACAAGCACTGTCCTAAGTGGACTCATGTCACGTTACACACCAAACTTTCCTAGCTAAACATCACATACCATTACACCGCCACCACGATCCTATACGTTACAACAAATTATTCATTCACAACATGACGCAATTTTACAAAGTCGCCAATCATTTACCACGAAACTATGAGAGAGGAGTGAAAAAGAAAATGTCATCAAGACGATCATTACTCGGTGAATTCCCCCCATAAACCAACAACCCCTCTTTGCCATCCCTCTGGCCACTGGCAAAAGCACACCATCCCCGAGGTCCAGGATGATCGCCGGAACCCGGCTTATCATCAAGCCGTTTCCATGCCAATGTCTCTGTGTCCAACGCATAAACCTCACCGGAGAACTTGCCGGCGCCCAGATGACCCAGGTCACTGGGATCTATCTCTCCTCCATATATGAACATGTATTTCCCAATGGCAACACTAGAGAATACACTCCTAGCAGTGGGCTTCTCACCGATTGTTTCCACTTGGGCCCAGCTCTTTTGGGCCAGATCAAAGCAATGCACATCGTCGGCTTCATTGCCAGTAAACCCATAAACGACCCATATTTTTCCTTGGGCCTCTGCAAGCCCAGGCCCACCTCTCCCTTTGCAATTTTCCCCGGGAGAAGGAAATTGCACCCACTTGTTCTCAGCAACGTCAAATGCCCACAGATCATTGAGCCTGCCGGAGACACCACAGCCACCGAAGACATAAACATACAGGTCATCGGCGGTAATTGAGTGGTAACTCCGGTCAGGTGGTCCGACGTCTCCGCTGGAAATTAAGGTCCACTTGTTAGTCTTTGTATCGAAAGAATAGAGCTCATTCAGCTCTTTGTGCTCAGCATCCCTGCCACCAAAGACGAAGATGGTGTCTCCGATTGCAGCCATTGTAACACCGACGCGTGGCGGCGGGATGTCGCCGGAAACGTCAGCCACAGTCCATGTCAGAGATTCAAGATCGAACACGTGGAGCTTGTTATCCACGGGAACACGAGGCGTAAATTCACCCCCAAATGCATAGACCTTCTGCCCTACTATGGCAATAGCGTGTGAACTTCTTGCCCCAGGCCCTGTTCCATTCTGCGCTAGCTGGGGAAAAATAACCAAAAAAAAAAAATCATGCAAATTAATTCTATGTATATTCTTTTTTATTCCCAGATTCTGAAGGCAAGATATCCGAACATTCTTTTCCTCAGGAATTAAGCAGAACAGAGTAAAGTTATAGCTTGATATGGTTGATGATAGAGACTAAAATCAGTATTAGGGAGATAAATTTAACAGTGAAACAATCAAAAGAGGGCTTTGCGTTAAAATCTCTCTCTAATCCTCTACCCTCAGAAACCTAAGCAAGGGGGCAAGTACAAATGAGTCCCAATTTGCCGATTTATCCAAATTTTCTGTCATTTCATGCCTTTTTTTTGTGGAAAAATTAACACACAGATCTTCTACTAGTTATTCCAGGAGTTCAACAGTTTAGTACTAGTTATAGATTTTTTTTTTTTTTAAGAAAATCCTAGATTATGAAATGAAGAGTAACTGTCAGTTGATTGCGTAACAAGAAGGTGCAACAAATCTTAAATTTGCAAGAGGAAGTGTTGCGAATTAGAGAGAGGGTGAGAGTTTGGAGAAACCAAATCAGGAAATCGCGGTAGCGGATGAATATTGAACAAGAAGGTGAGACAGATCTTATCAGTTTTCAGAGAAGCACATAATCGGTTGAGATTTCCAAAAATTATGAACAAATTGAAGGAGGAATGAAAAAGAAACCCGCGAAGAAACAAAAGAAGAGAAGATTAAAGAGAAAGACGAAGAGGGACAGAGACCTTAACCCATTTGCCTTCAACCACAGCCATCTCAGAAGAGCTCTGACGTATGCCCAAAATCCAAATGCAGAGCTCTCTTCACGAGCGTAACTGATTGGTACGTATGCCTTTATATAGAGTTGAGAGTCAATTAAAGGAAAATATGAAATATGATCCGCCCAAATATCATGAGTAATATTGCTCTTACTTAGTGAGTGATTTTTCTTTTCAATATATTTCTTTATATAATTACTGATTATTTATAGGTTGTGTGAGGCTTTTGATTTTTTTTTATTTAATTACTTACATGTTCTTTTTTCTAATTAAACCAACCAGCATGATAATATTAAATGTGAGCATATCTTTCAATGTTATTTAAATCTCAATTTGATATGTTATGCAAATAGTATTTTTCAATAAATTTAATCTTAATTCTTTTAAGTTGCTTTGGATGGATGGATTTAAGTTATGAATTTGAATTGTCAGCAGTTTTATCTCAATAGAAGTTGGCACTCTAGTTTGGATTGTCGCCTGCACTCCAATCCCTACTAACACAAGGGTTCGATCCCAATTGAAGTCCACCATTTGGTCATAGTTGACACCAACAGTGTAGTCCCGATCAACAGTAGTGGTTTGATCCTAATTAATAGTGGCAACTCGATTCTATTAATTTCAGCAATCTGGTCTAATTATCATTAGCAGGCCAATCATACTTTCGTGTATTTAAGTCAAATTATAAAAGAGATTGAGTTAAAATTTAAAATAATAAAAGTTTAAAAAGAATTTTAAATTATAAAAAAATTGAGGTAAACTTAGATTTAGATTTAGGATTTAAAGTCAAATCCATATATTTTAATTATTTAAATAATAAATTTGACTTAAATTTAAATTTAAATTTATATATATTCATACATAGTATCAATGTTTTAATTATGAGTAATTATCACTGTTTCTCATCATTACTTCATAAAGCCATTTCATAGTTCATTTAGATGGTCGAATCTTTCCATATCTTCATGAGACTTTCTTTCACTCATTTTACCAGTTCACTTTTACTTGTTGTGATTCGAAAACTTATTCTCTTCTATTACCATTTTGTTTTTTAGATCAAGCCTATTAATTTTTTGTAATTTGCACCGTCACACTTTTTTAGGAAAAAAAGGTTGTTATTAACTTTTTTCAGTATTTTTGTTAAAAATTAAAGGTTAAATGAATAAATTATCCCTAAATTTTAGATTCATTAACATCATAGTTTCTAAATTCATTTATTATATAAATTATTTACTCAACTTTTGAAAACAAAGCAATATGCTCTTTTTGTTAATAAAAATTAATCTTAACCATTAATTGATCATAAAATGATAGAGAATGACATGAAAAATTATAAAAAATAACTAAAAAAACTTTTATTGTAATTTTTTAATGTCCTTTTTATTTTTTTTTTTCAATTAATAGTTATAATTAACTTTTCTAAACAACAAATGTCAAATTGTAATATTTTCAAAAGTTAATGAAATCATTTACATAATAAATACATTTAGGATCTATGATGCTACTAAACCAAAAATTTAAAGAGTAATTTATTAATTTATCCTAAATTAAATGATGAACAATAAGCCTTCGATGAAGATACGTCTACTTCTCGATGCTAAGTTAGAGTTTTTTGAAATAAATAAAGAGAAAACGGTAAAAAAATGCAAATGAGAATTAAGTATCGTGAGATGTGATAATTATTAATTAATTTATGAAGATTTAGCTTGTATTTGATTTTTAACGAAATAACATATTTACCCTACATGTCTATTATATATTGAAAAATGACTACTTTAGTTAGAATATTGAACGGAACATAATAGAAAATAATTATTTTCTTTTTGTAAATTTGTTTATCAATCAAATGTAACTAAATTAATCATTTTTAATCATTTTCTAATCAATTTATAAATCATAAATTCACATAAAAGAAGTAGTCATTTTCTATTTTGTTTTAATTAATAACCCAACTACATCAATCATTTTTTAACATATAAAAGTCATTAATTTTTTTGTGTTTATGCTTAACTGATAAATATAACTTGCAGTAGGGCTATGCAAAAGTTTTCTGGTCTTATCTGACTCAGTCCAACCTGAGATAATCTAGTCTTATTTGGTTTATATAAACACCGGTCCTTCAAGATCAAAAGGACTGAAAAGATCATACTATTTTTTTAGGTTAGATTGGATAGGAGACGAGGTATCTAGATCACTTAGTC